TACTTAAAAGATTTGTGTTTCATGAACATTGCCTGTAATTTAAGCCATGCTAAATATATACATCAAAGTTAGCTTATATGATGCAGCCCRTTTTTAAATATATTCTCCCCCACGTTTAGTGTGTTGTGCATGTGTCTGGTTTATGTATGACTGTGAGCATTTAAGGCTGGACTTGTCTGTATATTTTCAGCACAGATGGAAGCAGTTAAATCCTAACTCAACACTAAAAGAAGAAATAGGGTCAGATAACAAAATCTATTAGCAAAACTCACTTTCTGTTGTCATTTGGTCTTCGGAGATGGAGCTGCTCGCAGGGCAAATTGAAATGCAAACACAGAATTCTGATCCCAGAAAAGACACCTATAATACATCAAACAAAGGCAAAAGTTGGTTTTAATTATAATGTTTTTAAAATCAATACCTGATGACCTAATGAAAGGCTGAGAGGACATCTCAGTACAGATGATTAAGTGATGCATAATGAAAAAGTCATCTTGGGTGAGAGAAAATTATGTTCGGCTACAAATTAGACCGTAAAATGTGGGGATAATTAATTACATGTGTAGAAGACATTTTTAAGGAATCAGGTGTTTGTCAGGGGTTGTAAGGACACATATTAACCAGCCACAGTGAACATTAACAATCTCAGGCCACATAATCGCACACTTCACTGATTTAAAACAACTAATGTGTTATTCTTTTAATTGATGACTGTTTATAAGCATAATCACAGCATAAATAAGCCACCAAAGGTTCTGAAACAGACCTAAATATTTTTCACATTATACTTTAAAAGGATATGACCAGTTCTCATTTCATGGTTAAATACCAAAGTACTTACACAAAAAGGAGGCCTGTGCCCAAAGTGGAATTGTTTTTTCCAACTAGTCAGTTCTGTCCTCGTGCAGCCAGAGCCTAAATTAGATGTTTTTATTTGACAGACCAAGCTTAGAACCAGGGGAAAAAAGACTACATGGAAAATCTACTGTTATAGGTTAAAAATCAGCTGGATTGCGGTTCAGAAGAAAGGAGAGAAAAAATTGTGAATTGATGATATTCTGAAGAGAGTTCCTGCTGTCTTTGCTTTCTCTGTAATAAAATAACAATTTTGTCTTAGTGTGGTAAAATTTTCGGGCATCATGCATTAATCCTATTGGTATTGGAGAACCCCCCCCCACCCCTGGGATAGTAAGTGCTATGTCAATGTGTGTGCATTTAGAACAAGAGAAGAAAAGCAAAGATGTCACCTGACCGTGACCTATTAGTCTTTAGTAGATTGTTTWGACTACCAGGCCATCCCTAAAGTTCCCTACAACCCCCTCCTTGTTATGACTGAAGCTGTTAAAACTCAGCCGCTCCAGCCACAGCTGTGCTTCCAAACTGTCGCAGAGCTCACATTGATTCAGATGGGATGACTCTTAATTTGATGTAATTTGATCAATTACCCCATTTTTTTACACTTAGGTTTTAGGTAAAAATGTACATGTATCTCGTTTCCCTGACCTCAAGTACTTCCATTGATAAATGGCTCCAATTTTCCACAGCTCTTTCCAACAAACACCGGAGAGAACGGCTGCACTTGTTTTTTCCAGCTGTTGGTTTAATAGTTTGTGTTAGGAGCAAGTACCATAACAGCAGTGCTATGGTCAGGCCAAAGTTTCTCAGGCTGTTAAAATCATTCTCACACAAAAAAGTGGTTTATTTTTTAGATAGGGGCACAACAATGTTGTATGCAGATTAAAATCTTTCCTAAATAAATGACCACCACTTCATTTAGATCCTTGATCCATTGTCACTTTACACAAATTTACACTGCATCCGCCCTTTTCTGGCACAACCGCAGCAGTATAAAAATATMATCATTATACTCAATGAGAACATTTACACTGCATCCACGGGGTGGCGGTGCACACATGACCAAAATCTGATTCAATCCTACTTTGTCGTATTATGTAGGAAGTACGGAGTCCAACTCCCACTCTGTAGGAGTCCAACTTACTGCTGGCAATGCAAACCAAACTCTTGCACCGCTTATATAGGGGCTGAATGACCAGTAACGATGGACCCCATACACACATAGCACCCCCACAGTGTACTTCAAGGAACACTGTCAATTTTCTTCTCCAAGTCCACAAAACACATGTAGACTGGATTAGCAAATTCCCATGACCTCTCAAGGACCCTGGTGAGGGTAAAGAGTTGATCCAGTGCTCCACGGCCAGGATGGAACCCGCATTGTTCTTCCAGAATCTAAGGTTTGACTRTTGATCAGCGTCTCCTCTTCAGTACCCCTGAAAAATCCTTACCAGGGAGGCTAAGAAGAGTGATGCTCCTGTAATTGGAGCACACCCTCCGGTCTGCCAGCCCAGTGGCACTACCCCAATATCCATGGAAATGTTGCAAAGGCGTGTCAGCCCCACATCATCCAGAGTCTTGAGGAAACCAGGGCAGATCTCATCCACCACTGGAGCCCTGCCACCATGGAGCTTTTTAGCGACCTCAGCCCCAGTCATGGATGGATCAACCCCAAAGACATGTGACTCTGCTTCCTCCATACAAGATATGCCAGTGGGATTGAGAAGGCCCGAGAAGTATTCCTTCCACCTTCCAACGACATCACTGGTTGAGGTGAACATTGACCTATGGTGTCCTGGTGTCACACGCGCTTATGGACAACCTTACATTTGAACATGGTGTTCGTGATGAACAAACTGTTACTAGCACATAAGTCCTACAACAGAACACCATTCATCTTGAGATCAGAGATGCCATTCCTCCCAATCATGCCTCTCCAGGTCACCCTGTCATTATCCACGTGGGCATTAACCCACGTCCAGGCAATGGACACAGAGTTCCTTGGTGTTTTATGTCCATATGAGTTGGTTGAACCATTCTTTGTCTGGCTTGTCACTTAGAAAAAATTTGTCATGGGAGACCCTACCAGGGGCAATCAAAATTGCCCTTGACAGCATAGCTCCTAGGATCATTCATTAAACATACTGTATATACTGTCAAAATGTATCATTCTGTATGGGAAGCGGAGGGCAACATGCAGCATGCTGCATACACTATGCAGAGTTTGTTCTGCATTGCTGGTAGTAAGTCAGACTCATTTCCAGTGAGAGTTGGACTCTGCCAAGGTTGCCCTTTGTCACAGATTCTGTTCATAACTTTTATGGACAGAATTTCTAGGTGCAGCCAAAGTGTTGAGGGAACCCGTTTTGGTGACCTTAGAATTGCATCTCTGCTTTTTGTGGATGATATGGTCCTATTGGCTTCAGCAGATAATGAACACCAGCTTTCACTGGAGCGGTTCACAGCCAAATGTGAAGCGACTGGGATGAGGATCAGTGCCTCCAAATCCGAGACCATGGTCTTGAATTGGAAAAGGGTAGGGTACCTCCTCCAGGTTGGAGAAGAGGTCCTGCCCCAAGTGGAGGAATTTAAGTATCTTGGGGCCTTGTTCACAAATCAGGGAAGAATGGAGTGGGAGATCGACATATGGATTGGTGCTGCATCTGCACTGCACTAATCCATCATGATRATTTACCGGTCAGTCTACGTTCCTACCCTCATCTATGGTCACAAGCTTTGAGTAGTGACCAAAAGAACAAGATCACGGATACAAGCGGCTGAAATGAGTTTCCTCCACAGGGTGTCTGGGCTCTCCCTTAGAGATGGGGTGAGCATCTCGGTCATCCAGGAGGGACTTAGAGTAGAGCCGCTGCTCCTCTACATCGAGGGGAGCCAGTTGAGGTGGCTCGGGCATCTGGTTAGGATGCCTCCCTGGTGAGGTGTTCTGGGCATGTCCCACTGGGAGGAGGCCCAGAGGAAGACCCAGGACACGCTGGAGGAACTATGTTTCTTGGCTGGCCTGGGAACGTCTTGGGATTCCCCCGGATAAGCTGGCCCAAGTGGCTGAGGAGAGGGAAGTCTGAGTTTCTCTGCTTAGGCTGCTGCCCCCGCAACCCGACCTCGGATAAGTGGAAGAAAACGGATGGACAGACGTACTGTGGTTCTGCCTTCTTTTTTTCTTCTTCTGGGTTTCAGAGAGGTACTGAGCTCTGTCTTAATATGCTTTATCAAATATTTTTAACATTCTCACTCATGGTTTGACATAGTTGTTGTACAAAGCTTGACAGAGAGAGAGAGAGAGAGCAATGACATTTAACTTTTACTGGACCTTCGTAAAAGGGTGTTTAGAAGGACTGGATCAGCACCTGCATCTGAGAGTTACTTATTTCCATAAAGTGTTATTATTAATAAAATTTTATATTTGTTTTGTGACAGTATATAAAACAATGTTACACGTTTATCAAATTACCTTACAAAAGGACTGCTATAAGCCTTTTTCTGTATAGTAAATGCAGCCTTTTTGCATTTTGTGCTGTTACATATATGAACAGCTTTTGCATACATTTGCACTGAACATATTTACAGCATTATGTGGTTCATGAAAAACAAGCCAAAGATGACCTAAAGATGTCCTAAAATACAACCATGTGAAATGTTCAAAAGAGCTTTGAGTATCCTGGTTGGATAGAAAGACACCATTTACCATTACAATACTAAAAGACAATAGAAATGTTCAACAGCTGACAAATACAAAAATCCTAGCCCATGGCCTGACATGGAAAATATAGAAGATTGAACAAACACGACATTACAGTGGAAATGGGTAAACTTTCCAAACATCAGAAAAAACATTTCCCATGTGAACATGGCCACAGTCACTAAATTGTGAGAAATAAAACTGCAGAAATGTATTTTAATTGTGAATAAATGTTAGTTTATTCACAGTTACAAACATAAATATAAGTTAAGGGAGATTTCAGTAGAAATTTGTRCAATACTTCTTTACAAATTTATGTCTTCCAACTTGCCACCATTTGTTGCAGTCAGTGAGATACATGGTTAAAAGGCTTTCTCAGCTTCCACAGTTTTTAATCTTCATGTCTACCTCTGAAAATCCTGATAAGCGCTGTTTGTTTGTCTTTCAGAACAAAGACAGAGACAGGAAGACGACCATCCGAAGCTAGCAACGAAGACACAAACCATTCTGATAACATGTTCATCACTTTCACAGTGCTTCATGTCTGTTGCTGAAAACGACCAAGACTCATGATGCATTTTAAAGAGTTTTCAAGGATTTTTTAACACTTCCAGAACTTTTAAATAATGTTTTACTTGTTTTTTTTTTATTTTTAAACAACTTTTTCTTTGACCGTAATGAAACCATCAACATTATTTTCCAAGGACTTGCACTCTAATAATAATAATAATAATAAACAACATAAAAACCTTTAAAAACACAAGTATGAGAGACATTTTCCTGTGCTCATAGACTGGATGCTCAGAGTTTTTAAAAGAAATGGCACATGAACAAAAAAGGCAAAAATAACAACATGCTAACAATCAAAAGCTGTAAACGGATATATAAATGTATATTTATGTAACATAACAATATATAATGAAATTATGTTATTTAACAGGAATATGACGTTTGATAATTCTGTATGAAATAATGGCCATTGACTTCATTTGTAGCATTAGAAATGTATTGACTTTAGTGTTATTGGTTATTATTAATTATTTCTGAATGGAAAGCAATATGACCAATAGTGTGTGCAAATCTGGACAAAAAAATCTTAATTTTTATATCTAATTGCATTTTTGAGTATTGTCCCAGTAACTATCAGTTCCAAGTAATAAAAAAAAATATATTTTCCAGTTTGAATTTATGATGTTATTCAAACATTTTCTAAAACCAAAATGTGGGTTTGTGATACTTTTGGAGCTATGAGAAAGACAACAACGGCTGAAAATGAGATGGATGAGAGAGACCCGAGGAAGGGGGGAAACAAGGAGCAAATTAAATCTGCAGGTATGACTACTTGGACATCTGCCTCTGTCCCTTTGCTGTCCTCTTCTTTACCTTTCCATATGCTTGTTCTTTTTCCTCTTCCTTTGCTCTTCCTATCTTTTCCCTGGAGTGCCACTGGCCAAAATCTGATTGATGATGGCTTTTCCATGTGTTCAGCCTCAGACCGCTTACCTTATTCTTTTTATCCCTGTCTTTCCATCCGTCCATCCATCCATTTTGCTACATTTTTTCTACATGCATGTTTAACTTTTAAAGTGGTCTTAATCAGTAGTTCTTTTGGTTTTCTGTTGGTCTTTCATTTACTGTATATGTATATACACTGTCTGGCCAAAAAAAGTCACCACCAGAAGAAAAAGGTCACATTAATATTTCATTCGACTGCCTTTAGCTTTGATTACGGCACACATTCTCTGTGGCAATGTTTGGATAAGCTTCTGCAATGTCACAAGATTTATTTCCAAACAGTGTTGCATTAATTTTTCACCAAGATCTTGCATTGACGATGGTAGAGTCTGACCACTGCACAAAGCCTTCTCCAGCACATCCCAAAGATTCTCARYGGACTCTGTGAAGCCACTCCATGTGTGAAAATGATGTCTCATGCTCCCTGAACCACTCTTTCACAATTCCAGCCCCATGAATCCTGGCCTCTTGGAATATGGCCGTGCCGTCAGGGAAGAAACAATCCATTGATGGAATAACCTGGTCATTCAGTATATTYAGGTAGTCAGCTGACCTCATTCTTTGAGCACAGACTGTTGCTAAGCCCAGACCTGACCAACTGCAGCAACCCCGCATCGTAGCACTGCCCCCACAGGCTTGTACAGATTAGTCAAATCATTGGCATGCATCAAGCAGAAGAAAACACCTAAGGAGATTGCAGAAGCAATGAAAATTGGGTTAAGAACTGTCCAACACATAATTAAAAACTGGAAGAATAGTGGGAACCCATTGTCTTTGAGGAGTAATGGATGCATCACTTCACCTGCCTCTCTTCTTATGATGCGCCCATCACTCCCATGTGTGTATGTTACCGTATATAGTATATATATTTTATTTTTTGCTACAAAAGCCTAAAAATGCTTCTGTATTTCTGTTCAATCAAGAAACAAGAAACAGTTAGTTTATTTTCAATTACAAAATAGAAACTCATGGTGAAGTCATGCAATAAATGTTTTTACATGGACTGCTTTCCTCTGTTTGCTTCCTGGCCATAATATATTGTGCAGTATATGTTGCAAAATAAGGTAAGTGGACAAGCAAAGAACAAAAAGCACTGCAGCAGATGATGTAAAAAAGACTGTCTATTTGCAGCCGATGATGAACAATATTCAGGAAGGTGCCCAGATATACATCAAGTGGTGCTTAATCACCTGCCCTTTTCCTTCTGGACCATCAAGTGCTCTTGTCAAACTTATTTTTTTACAGTGCGCCCCTAGTTGAGCTTCTGTATTAATACATGTACTACCAACACCCCAAAATGGGCATAGTAATTTTGCCCTCATTTTATCCAGCCCCAAATGTTTTAAATGTGAAAGTTTTATGTTTTTTCTCTGTACGTAGTGCATTCTTTCACTGACAGATGGCCAACTTTAAATTAAAGTTAAGAAAATTATGTTTGATTTTTTTCAGTAATCTTTGATTTTGGTGAAGAGAAAGGAATGAAGAACAACTTTAATTATATTTGCTTGAATTATCTTCCTATTTTAATGTCAAAATATTGGATTTTCAGTGAGGGTTTTATTCTTTTACCTGATGATAAACATGTATGTTTTTTACGTTTAGCATTAGCAAAGCTATGTACTGTATATTCTTAGTTAGCAGATTATGAGCTAGCAAAGCTAACATTTTGGTTAGCTGTTCCCACCAATGGTCTTTTGCTTTGCTATTTGTCATGTGTTGACATTTGTTCATTCCTTGAGTTTAGGAGCTATTTAATAKCTAAATGGTTATAGGGTCAGAGTTTAACATACAGTATTGTCAAACCAACCAACAAACAAAAAACTTAAAAACGTCCAGTTCTAGACAAAAAATACGCAATAACCAAAAAGTCCAAAGCTCACCTTTAGAGACTAGTCTCGCTCATGGGTAGCAAAAAATAAAGAAATGAGAGATGACCCAAGATTTTGGTACAGTACACATTAGAGTATGATGTAAGAAAGATTGTTGTTTTGGGATTCTGGTGTCTTCAGCATCGTATTTGATACAGAACAATAATTTTTCCTTGGGAATTTTCCAGAATTAAATGCAGTGGCCCATTCTTTGGGACAATCTAACTGCAGTGTGGCCCTGGTTTTATGTTCACAATTTTTTTCTAACAACACTAACAATTAATTTTTGTGACTGAGGTGCCAGTCATGAAGCATTTTTTCTTTAGTGGGATAAGTGCCCGGTGAAGAAACACTGACCAGCACAAACTTCAAAACATCAAACTGCAAAGATTATGTTTTTTGGAAACAGTGAAACAAAAATAAAGCAGATTTATTTTGTCTCAACCATCCAGAATCACAAAAAGTTCTGAATGACTTCAATCACTTTTAGTGTTAAGGTGCTCCCTGTAGAGAGGGCTCCCATGATGATTAATTTTAAGAGAAAATGATAAAGATTGATATTTCTGACCACTAAAGCAATAGTTTAGTTTTAGTACAGATGACAGAAATAAAAACACTGAGGAAAATAAACAAAGGTCAAAGCAAGTCCGGGATTTTTCAGATTTCCTGGCTGAACTGAGCCTTGAGTTAATTTTGTGGCTGCCTGATCCGTCCTAGAAGCGCAATCTGAACCATTTGTTTTTAGCATGTAGCGTTTTGCTAGACTGATGGCCGAATTCACTCAATATCATTCTTTCATCACCTGCAATGTTTCATAGAAAAGGCAACATTTGCAACAGATGTGGATTTTTATTCCAGGAAAAAAATAAAATGAAGATAAGATGAATTATAACATAATTTTCTGGAAAATAGTATGCAAGTTTTTTTTAAATAAATATGTACGATTTATTCTGTGCAGCTAGCCTGCTCCAGACCAGGCTAACATAGTCAAACCTGGTGTCTTGTCTGTTCAGTCAGTGACCAAGCCCATCAGAAACCAATGTGCTTTTGTTGTCTTTATTACCAGTCTGCAATAAAATACCACTGATTCATGTTGACATTCAGTCAATTCAGCTCAACAACTTTATTGTCATTCAGGATTGTACAGTTTACCATACAAAATTGAATGAAGATGAATGAAATTGAAATTGAACATTCAGTCAAGTAGCTACTATTTTTTTAAACATTATGGTTATTATAAATGTTATAATTCTCCATGTGGGCATTGTTACTGTTTGAATGTGTTTCTGAATCCTGCTGTGGTTCTAAGTTTGACAGAAAGAACTTTAGATTATCTGTGTTGAGAGGATTTGAGAAATGACTGATAAAGAAGCAAAGGTGTTGTTAATGAAGTCAAACCATAGAAGTAGCTCCAAATACATGTCCTTTAGAATGGTGTGCCTGTTTTTGAATGACTGTTGATGATGAAGCACTTRTATTGAGAAGGGCTTCCAGAGAGGAAAGCGTGTTTCAGGAGTGTTTCAGGACAGGTCCGACCCTTTGGCTTTTCCTTTTCCATAGCTTCATGACTGTGACCTTTTCTGGGTATAACATCCTCTACCTGTCCAGACTGCTGAGTCCCAAAATCCAGCACCACACTGAGTGGTCCATATCATATGTTGCACATTCAGTAGTGGAATGATGGACCATCAGTCCATCAGGGGGCAGTTCCAATAGGTGGGACACAGTCAATGGCTTATGTTAAAAACAAAATGATACAAAATATACATGTACAAAATCTAGACATAAATAAAATAACAGCATAAATTTAAATAAGAGGAAATGAGAGAGAAATAGAGGTAAAAACAGTCTGTGCCCCCCCCCCACCCAGCACGCTGTTTCTAAGCTAAATACATTCACAAATAATATGTCATCTTATCAAATATCTATTCAAAAAATTATTGAAAAAACACAAATAGGAACTTTTAGCTATATCCATGTCAGTATTTCTTTTTATTTTTTAATGCTTTTACCTTTAATAAACAAACATTAGAGCATTTAGGATCCTACAGCTTATTAGTCTCCATCAAAAGATGTTCTTCATTTGRTRAGAAGTATGGTGCCCTCAGTTTGTCCAGTTTAGAATCAGTGAATCTGTGATCGATCTCATGGTCTCACGAGCCTCTGAAACAAAGATAATGTGCTATGTATTGTCATCAATGCATGTTCCCATGCAATGACAAAATTTGTGCACTGCATTTGACCCATCATTCATGAGATACACCCAGGGAGTTTAAGGAATAGGTGTCTTGCTCAACGACACCACGACGGCATGGTGGGGAATCAAACCTTTGACTTTCTGTAGACAACTGTACCACACTGCACTGCAGCTGCCGCTTTTTAATGATGTTTTTTTTCTTTAATAGAAAACAAGTGCTTTGGAAAAACAGTGCTGTGTGTCTACTATGTCCTGATTACTTCTGGTCCTGTTAGTCTAAGGGTCTGATCTCTCTAACAGGCTGTCTGAACAGTGGAGGCGAGGAGAGGAGGAACTGGTTCCTCCCACACAAATGAGATCAAGTTCCCACAACGCCTACACACACACGCACACACAGTTGAACGTTTACACACGTCTGTACCAATGAACTTACACACAAATAGATGAGCACACTTCATGAATGGACACGCACACATTGGTGTGTGCTCACAAGGATCTGTGATCTAACTTAGCYATAATGACCTGTGTGATTTATGTTGAGGAAGCAAATCAGCTGAGAGGGCCGACTGCTGCAGCATATTTCAGTGGGAGGTTTTGG